AAATTTAAAGACCCAATCCAAAAATGGGCATCTGAAATGAACAGACATTACTCACACAAAGAAGCAGGAATGGCAAATAAACATATGAAAAAATGTTCAAAATCACTGGTCATTCAAGAGATGCAAATGAAAACAACACTGAGATTCTACCTCACCTGAGAAAGAATGGCTGCTATCATGAAATCAACCAATAACAAATGCTGGTGGGAAAGAGGAACCCTACTCCACTGCTGGTGGGAGTGTACACTGGTACAACCACTGTGGAAATCAGTATGGTGATACCTCAAAGAACAAGACTGGTAGTCCCATTTGACCCTGCTATTTCCCTGCTGGGTATCCTCCCCAAAGAATTAAAAGATTCACACCACAGTGACATATGCACACCCATATTCATAGCAACAGAATTCATGATAGCTAAAACTTGGAAACAACCCAATTGCCCATCAACCGGAGACTGGATCAAGAAAATGTGTTTTTTTTTTTTTTTATAAAACGGAGTATTACTCAGTGAAAAAGAGCAAGAAACTAGAGACATTTATAGCTAAATGGATGCACATTGAGGTGATACTCTTAAGTGAAATAAATAGCACACACGTGTAAATGAATAGTTTCTGTAGTGTGAGAAACTGAAAGTGTAAATAAGGACTAAAAGGTATAAAAGATAATGTGAAATTGGAAGAAAAGGGGCAAAGGGGAAGGGGAAATAGGAGGGGTAGGGGAAAAGAAAGAAAGGAATGGAATTAATATGAGAAAAGAAAAAATGGAAACAAAGTCTTTGTAGATAGGGAGGGACTGGAGGGGTTGAAGGGAGGGCAGGGGAAGGGGCAAAAATAAAAACCAAGATGGACTATATAAAGGTGCAAATTTCCAAAGATGAATGTCATTACATTGTATACCTTAAAAGTACCAATATAATTAATAAAAATAACCAAACAAAACATACTAACTGACATATATACAAACTAAAATTTTGGCAAATACTATCACAATTCATTAAAATTTTTATACATTAACTTTTATAGTAGTTATTATTAGCTAGGAGGAGAGAGAAAATGCATCACATGTGCTAAAGTAAAACTCAGTTATTACGTACCATGTCCTATGCTAGCTTCTTCAGAATATTATTCACTATATCTGAAAATGGCAATATTAACTACTACTGATTTCACACAACACATAAAAAATCCTGAGGCACCGAGGGATTAAGCAACTTGAAAAAGATCATATCTAGGACTGAAAGTGGTAACAGGGAAAGAGAATTTAAAAATGCCTCCCAACGTGCTATGCCTGGATGAGCACCAAGAGGAAAGGGAAGTGCAGGAGGGATGGGGCTGGGTGGGTGCTGGCAGGAAGATTTGCCCAGATGCAGCAGCAGGCAGCCTGTAGAGCTGTGAGGGCCAGTGAGACAGAGAGGGCTGGGGCAAGACACTTCACCTTTCATGTTCATGAATATCAAGTTCATCTTTAACTGCTATGAAATGATAAAAATGTTCACAAATTAAACTAAAACCAAATCTCAGTTTTAAAGCCAGACCATATCTGTGTTGTCAGTGATAGTCAAACTGCTCGAGGTAGCCTTAGAGACTATATTCTGTCTCTAAGGAAAACTACTGCAACACCTCTTATATGCTGCTATCAAGTGAGCTGATCAGCCTGACTGCAGCAGCTTATTCCTCATCTTTTCTGTTGACCTTTTTCCTTTTTTTAGACAAATATGTTCAGTTCCACTGCCCAGTATGTTCTGGTTTCTATTTCTAACACTATCACTCCACTATGTCCCTCAGATCCTTAAGCCAGTGGTTCCTTGTCTCATATCTGTAACTACACATTCCATCCCTTTTCATAAAAGCTTGTCAAAAGCAATTTCTCCCATCAGGTATATTTCTATCTCCCGTGGAAACATTCTTTAGGCCAAAGAAAAAGATGTAATTCTTGTTAGACCATTCCAGCAGAAACAGAACCTATGAAGCCTAAATATATGTACTACTTTATCAATATGTTCTTTGATTTATGCTCCTTGTCCAGCTGCTCTCATAACTTGTATGTTGTCTAATGTTTGTTTTAAGCATCTGGCATACAGATATTATCTTTATTTAAGTTCATTTTTATAACTACTACCTTATAAAATACCATGCAAAACCAGTTGCAGAATTTTTCCCAGCTACTTCATTTCTAGATAATCTAAATATATAATCTTGTAATTTTAATTAAAAATAAAATATTTTTTGTGTATAATTTAGATCCAATAACTATTTAAAAGTCTTTAGTACATGACTCTTGAAATTGTCCATTTCCAACAGGAGGAAATGCAAGGTAAGTCAGCTGGCTCTCTCCTGCTTGTATGTCTAGGATGCAGGAGTGTTTCTCCACCATCACTTGGCTTGCAGTGAGACTCCCTGTTTAAATCTTTAGCCCAGTGCTTCCTGGTATCTTTTGAAATTCTTTACAAACCAAGAGAGAACTTCCAAATATTACACTTTGGACTGAAGCCAAGCAGATCTAAACTTGAGCCAATGAGCATTTAAAATTCCTTAAGGAATCTTAAATGTATTTTATCAATTTTAAAACAAGTTTCACAAGATAAACGCATAATAAAAAATTAGTACTCTCGCCTTACCTACATCTATAGAAAGTTAGTTCTCCATTTTGTGCAAAAGAGGGCCACACACATTAAATCTTCAGAGAAGCAGAGGACTGTGCATATCTCTCTTTATGCTTATCTTTTTCCCAAAGGAAACAGGATCTTATTCTGCAGTGTGGTTCAAACATTGCATGAATTCGGACATGGATTTATGAAATACAAATTTTCAGAAAATCTTGCAATGAGACTCACTGAAGTCTATAA